CATTTTACACCAGTTGGAATGGCTATTACTAGTCCAAATAAACGAACAGACATACAGACAGATAGGCAAACATGCTGGTGAGGCTGCAGAGAAAAAGGAATGCTTATACACTGCTGGTGGGGTTGTAAATTAGTTCAGCCACTGTGGAAAACAGTTTAGAGATTTCTCAAAGAATTTAAAGCGGAACTACTATTTGACCCAGCAATATCATTATAGGGTATATATTCAAAAGAAAACAAATAATTCTACCAAAAGACACAGGCATGTACATATTCATTGCAGCATTATTTACAATAGCAAAGACATGGAATCAACAGTGGATTAGATAAAGAAAATGTAGTACATATGTACCATGGAATACTACACACATAAAAATGAAATCATGCTTTGCAGCGACATGTATGCAACTGGGAGCCATTATCCTAGGCAAATAATGCAGGAACAGAAAGTCAAATACCATAAGTTCTCATTTATAAGTGAGAGCTAAATATTGGGCACTCATGGTTATAAAAATGACAGCAATGAACACTGGGGGCTACTAAATGAGGGAGGAAAGGAGAAGGGAAAGAGTTGAAAGACGGTTAGGTATCCTGCCCAATACCTGGGTAATGGGATTATTTATGTCACAAACCTCAGCATCATGCAATAGCCACATATAACAAACTAGCGCATGCACCTCCTCAATCTAAAATAAAAATTAAAATGATAAATAACAAATAAAAACCATCGATTGTTTTATACATAAAATATTTTCCATCTTTACTACTTTTAAGTGTATAGCTCATTGGGAATAAATATATTTATATAAACATATATTTTCTGACTTTTGGTAAACATTTTACTCTCTATTTTCATGAGATCCACTTCTTTAGCTACTACGCGTGAGTGAGAAAATGGGATATTTGTCTCTATTCTTGGTGTGTGTGTGTGTGTGTGTGTGTGTGTATATATATATATATATATATATACACACACCGTATTTTCTTTATCCATTCATTTGTTGATGGGCACTTAGCTTGACTTCATATTTTGGCTATTGTGAATAGTGCTGCAGTAAATATGGGGGTGCACCTGTCTCTTTGATATATTGATTTTCTTCCTTTTGGATATGTACCCAGGAGTGGAATTGTTAAATCATAAAGTAGTTCTATTTTTAGACTTTTGAGGAACCTCCATAATGGATGTACTAATTTACATTTCTATCAACAGTTATACGAGGGTTCCTCTTTCTCCACATTGTTGCCAGCATCTGTTATTGCCTTTTTTATATAAGCCATTTTAAATGGGGTAAATTGATATCTCATTGTGGTTTTGATTTACATTTCTCTGATGATTAGTGATACTGGGAATTTTTTTTTTCATGTATCTGTTGGCCATTTGCATGTCTTCTTTTGAGAATTGTATATTCAGATCTTTTTCCCGTTTTTGGTTGAATTTTATTTTTTTATTTTTTTATTTTTTTGCTATTGCATTGTTTCAGACCCTTATGTATTCTGGTTATTTTTTGTCAGATGGATAGTTTACAAATATATATATTTTTCCATTCTATGTGTTGTTGTTTTCAACTTGTTGAATCTTCCTTTGCATGGAAGCTTTGTAACTTGATATAAGTTCATTTGTCTAATTTTGCTTTGGTTGAGTTTGAGTATGCTTTTGACATTTTACAAAAAAAAGTTTGCCCAGATAAATGTAATGGAGTGTTTCCCCAGTGTTTTCTTCTAGTAGTTTCACAGTTTTGGGTCTTGAGTTTAACTCTTTAATTCATTTTGATTTGATTTTGTGTATGGTGACAGATAGTGGTCTAGTTTCATTTTCTCTATATAGTTATTTAGTTTTATCAGCATGATTATTGGAAAAGCTTAATTTTCCCATTTTATGTTCTTGTTGCCTTTACTTTTGTTGAAGTAGAGTTAGCTGTAAATGTGTGTATCTTCATCTGGGCACTCTGTTTCATTCAGTTTGTCCATGTTTGTGTTTTTAATGCCAGTACCATGCTGTTTTGGTTAATATAGCTTTGTAGTAAATTTTGAAATAAGGTGGTGTGATGCCTCCGGTTTGTTCTGTTTGCTCAGGATTGCTTTGGTTTTTCAGGGTCTTTTGTTGTTCTAGAAATATTTAGGATTAAGATTCTGTGAAGAATGTCGTTGATATTTTAATAAAGATTACATTGGTTCTCAGAAGCACTGTTTGACCCAGCAATTCCATTACTGGTTGTAAACCCAAAGAATTATAAATCATTCTATTGTAAAGACCCATGCACACGTATGTTTATTGCAGCACTATTCACAATAGCAAGGCATGGAACCAACCCAAATGCCCATCAGTGTTAGACTGGATAAAGAAAATGTGGCATATATACACCATAGAATACTATACAACCATAAAAAGGATGAGTTCATGTCCTTTGCAGGGACATGGATGAAGCTGGAAACTGTCATTCTCAGCAAACTAACATAGGAACAGAAAACTAAACACTGCATGTTCTCACTCATAAGTAGGAGTTGAACATTGAGAACACCTGGACACAGGGAGGGGAACATCACACACCGGGGCCTGTCAGGAGGTCGGAAGAAGGGACGGGATAGCATTAGGAGAAATATCTAATGTAGATGATGGGTTGATGGGTGCAGCAAACCACCATGGCACCTGTATAACTATATAACACACCTGCACCTTTTGCACATGTATCCCAGAGCTTAAAATATAATAATAATAATGAAAAGATTAAATTGGTTCTGTCATTTGCTTTGGGGAGTACTGTTATTTTAAGGCCTAAGATTTTTTTTTTAAATTCAGGAACATGGAATATCTTTTTTTTTTTTTTTTGGTATCCCCTTAAATTTCTTTTATCAGAGTTTTATGGTTTTCTTGTATAGATCTTACAATTCTGTAGATTGATTACTAGGTATTTTATATATTTTTGTAGCCATTGTAAATGGATTGATTCCTTTTTTAGATTGTTTATTGTTGGTATTTAAATTTTGGTATGTGATTTCATATCCTACAACTTTACTGAATTCTTTATCAGCTCTAACGTTTTTTTTTTTTTTAAATGGAATCTTCATGTTTTATGAACAAGAATAATGTGACTTTTTTCTTTCGAATTTGGATGGCCTTTATTTTTTTCTCTTGCCTAATTGTTCTGGCCAGGATTTCCATTATTATGTTGGATAACAGTGGTGATGCTGGGCATCCTTATTTTGTTCCAGTTCTTAGAGAAAAGACTAAACTTTTTTCCCATTTAGCACAATGTTGACTGTGGAATTGTTATATATCTTTATTACTTTGAGGTATGTTTCATCTATACCCACTTTGAGGGTTTTTATCATACAAGATTTTGAAATCTATCAAATGCTTTTTCAATATCTATTGAAATAATTAGATGATTTTGTAACTATTGAAATAATCATATGGTTTTTGCTCTTGATTCTGTTAATCTTATGCATTATGTTTATTGATTTCCGTATGATAAAGCATCCTTGCATTGCTGGAATGAATCCCATTTGATCGTGGTGAATGATCTCCTTCATGAGTTGCTGCATTCTATTTGCTAGTATTTTGAGGATTTTTTCATCTATGTTTATGAGTGATATGGACCTATATATATTTTTTGTTGGGTACTTGTCTAATTGTGTATCAGGGTAATGCTGGCTCTATACAATGGGTTTGGAAGTGTTTCTTCATCTTTAATTTTTTTTTTAGGAGTTTGAGTAAAACTAGTATTAGTTGTTCTTTAAATGTTTGGTAGAAATGAGCAGTGAAGCCATCAAGTACTAGGCTTTTCTTTGATGGGATACTTTTTGTTATGGCTTTGATCTCATTGCTTGTTATTATTTTGCTGATATTTTTCTATTCTTTATGGTTCAATCTTGGTAAGTTGTATTTATCTAGGAATTTATTGATTTCTTCTAGGTTTTCCAATTTGTTGGCACATAATTGTTCATAATAGTCTCTAATGATTGTTATTTCTGAGGTCTCATTTGTTGTGTTACATTTTTCATTTTTGACTTTATTTTTGAGGGGCTTCTTTTTATTTCTTAGTCTAGCTTAAGGTTTTTCAACTTTGTTTATCTTTTAAAAAACTTTTCAGTTTGTTGATTTTCTGTGCTTCGTTTCAATTTTATTTTTATTCTGATTTTTATTTCTCTTCTTTATTAATTTAGATTTGGTTTGTTATTGGTTTTCTAGTTACTTGATATGCATCATTAGGTTATTTAACATAATTCTACTTTTTTAATCTAGGCATTTATTAATATAAAATTCCCTCTTCATACTGCTTTTTCCATATTCTATAGATTTTGGTATATGATTTTTTCCATTTTCTTTTTTTTTTTTCAAGAAATTTAAAAGTTTCCTTCTTTTTTTAACTTCTATTTTAAGTTCAGACATACAAGTGCATGTTTGTTACATAGGTAAATTTGTGTCATCGGGGTTTGTTGTACAGATGATTTCATCATTCAGTTATTAAGCCTAGTACCCATTTGTTATTTTTTCTGATCCCTTCACCTACCCTTTTCCTACCCTTCCTATCCCTTTTCCTACCCTTCACCTTCCAAAGGGACTCTGGTGTGTGTTGTTCCCCTCTGTTCATGTGTTCTCATCAGTTAGCTCCCATTTATAAGTGAGAACATGTGGTGTTTGATCTTCTGTTCTTATGTTAGTTTGCTAAAGACAAGGCTCAAAATAAACGGGTGAAGGAAAATCTGCTAAGCCAATGGAAAACAGAAGTAGGCATTTCAATCCTAGTTTCTGACAAAATAGACTTTAATCCAGCACAGATCATAAAAGACAAAGAAGGGAACTTTATAATGTTATAGAGTTTAATTCAACAAGACTATCAACTTCTTTATTGATCTTTTGGTTGTTCAGAAGCATGTTGCTTGATTTCCTTGTGTTTGTGCATTTTCTGAGGTTCCTCTTGGTATTGGTTTTTAGTTTTATCCCATTTTGGTCAGAAAACGCAATTGATATGATTTCTATTATTTTTTGAATTTTTTCAGACTTGTTTTGTGGCCTAAGATATGGTTTATTCTGGAGCATGTCCCATGTACTGATGAAAACAGTATGTCTTCTGCAGCAGGTGGGTGAAATGTTCTATAAATGTCAATAAGGCCTATTAGATCTAGTATGTAGTTTAACTTTTTAATTTCTTTGTTGATTTTCTGTCAGGATCTGTCCATTACTGAGAATGGGGTGTTAAAGTCTCCTACTGTTATTGTATTGCAGTCTCTCCTTTTAGATCTATTAAAATTTTCTTTATATACTTGAGAACTCCGATGTCGGGTGTGTAGATTTTTATGATTATTATGTACTCTTGTTGAGTTGACCTCTTTGTCATTCTATATTACTTTTTTGTCTCTTTTTACTAAAATAGTCATCTATTTTATTTGATATAATTACAATTACTCTTCCTCATTTATCATTTTTTTTTTCTATTTTTTTTGAGACAGAGACTCACTCTGTCACCAGGCTGGAGTGCAGTGGTGCAATCTTGGCTCACTACAACCTCCGCCTCCCAGGTTCAAGTGCTTCTCCCGCCTCAACCTCCCAAGTACCTGGGACTACAGGTGTGTGTAACACACCCAGCTAATTTTTGTATTTTTAGTAAAGATGAGGTTTTAGCATGTTGGCCAGCATATTGGGTATATTTGCTGAGCAAATATATCCAGTAAAAATGAATACAAGCTAAACAGAGAAAAGTGGACTAAAAATACTAGATTTAATGCTAGCTTGCTACCTCCTTTTCAGGTCTAGGTGGCACCTTAAGCCCAGGTTTGCACTGACTATGCTAAATGAATGGAGCACTGCCTGTCCTCAATGGGATAGGTTCCCAAGAAATTATCTTGCAGTGTTTCAGGCCTGTCTAGGGATTCTTGCCCAAGAGACCTTAGGAAGTTAGTCCTACAGTGTGGTGATACTTAACAGCTATTCTGATTTGATGTCTCCTTTGACTAACAGAGCAGTTTCCAGGGCTGAGCATGGATTCTTCTTCCATTTGATCTGCCTGTCCTTAGAGATATTTCTCCATTTAGGCAGTCATTATGCTTCCTGAATAGGTCTTCTGCCAGGACATCTAAGATAGTGGGGAATCTGGTTGACTATCCCATCATTTTTTTCTATGTAGAAACTGCGAGTTAGGGGAAGATTTTCCTTATTTGGTGCCAGGCAGAATGGGAGACAGGGGAATCCTGAATGTGGAAACCTGATTCTCTTATTGTCTGCTTGGAATTTTTTTTTACTTTTCTGTGGGCATTGCAACTGTCTCATGCTCAAATTTAAGTTCTGGTTTGTTTCTGGTTAAAATCTGGCTCTGTACATTTGTTTTTGTTTTTTTTTTTTTGGGAGAAAGTGAAGCCAGCTTGCTTCTATGATGTCATTTTTGGAACAGTAAGTAAAGTTATTATTATTATTTTTTTTCTTTCCAATCTCTATTAAAAGGTACATAGGCCAGGCACAGCATGGTGGCTGACACCTGTAATCCCAGCACTTTCGGAGGCCGAGGTGGGCTGATCATGAGGTCAAGAGTTGGAGACCATCCTGGCCAACATGATGAAACCCCATCTTTACTAGCCAGGTGTAGTGGCAGGTGTCTGTAATCCCTGCTACTTGGGAGGCTGAGGCAGGAGAATTGCTTGAACCTGGGAGACAGAGATTGCAGTGAGCTGAGATTGTGTTACTGCACTGCAGCCTGAGCAACAAAGCATTACTCCATCTCGAGCAAACAAACAAACAAACAAACAAACAAACAAACGAACAAATGGTACATAATCCTTGTGATGTACATTTACACTTGATGTCACTTGCTGTTCATTATGGGTGAATTGATTTGTGAATTGAAGCTTTCAATAATTGTAGCATTCTTTACTGCAGGTTGAAGTACACATTATAAAAAATAATAAATCATAAACCATTTTAAACCATTGGAAATAAATAAGCTTTCAAGTCTTAACATTACCACAAATCTTTTCTGAAGTTTAGACATTTATCTTGGTTTATTTGTATTGTAATACTTTGATTATACCTGTATATAGTCCATCTCTTAAAAATTAATAGTTCTGTTTTACTTAGAGAATCTGGAAAAAAAAAGTAAGATTCTTCAGAGCATGGTGGTAAAGGAAATTTCAGTTAAGTTCAGGTACTGAGGATAACAGAATGTTACCTTTTAAAGTGCGTATAGTTGTAAGGTTTAAACACTTTCAATTTTCAATATTTATATTAACATGAACATTTTGTATAATAGTATTGTTGATCTCAAGGGGCAATTGGAAATAGTTGTATAATTGTGAGAATCCATGTGTAAGTTTGTTTTTATTATGAAAAATCAACAACATACTAACAATATTTGTTGAACTATATTCTATGCTTCAAATATGAAATCTTATATGAATCCACTTTTTATGTAGACATTGTAGACAAGAGACAGAAGTATGATTTATGGAAGAAGATTATTGTAAACCATAAATGGTTCCATTATTTATATGTGTCCAAATATTATTAAAACAACTATAGTGAAATTTTTACCAGAGTTATTTTCAAGTATGACATTATTCTTGTATGTTGGAGGACATGTTAAAAACCATTTAGTACTCTAAAACACTGTTTAATAGAAGTTTTCATATAAGTCTCTCTTCGTGACCAGACTTTCGTCAGACTCCTTTGAGTCATTTTCTTGTGAAGGTCTTGACTTTTGGGCTTCTGCATTTGTCCTTGCATAGCTGTTTTAGCAGTAATTCTTTTAACTCAGTTTAACAAGAATTTCCCATATTTGACATCTGATCATCCTTTATATCTGATCAAATTCGTCATCCTCCACCATCCAATCAGATGATGACATCTGATGACAACAGCTTGCTTTCAGTGAGAATACTATCAAGTTGGTATTTCCAGAATCTCCTTCTAAACCTGATGTTTTCTCTAATTTTCTATCTACTGATTTCCCCACCCTGCTCTGGGATATAAATCCCCACTTGTCCATGCTGTATTTGGAATTGAGTTAATTTCTATGTTGAGGTCTCTTTTGCCTTATTGCAATAGTTCCTGAATAAAATCTTTTTACCACTTTTAACTACTGACTGCTGGGTCTGGTTGTTTTTCCATACTATGGAAACCTATGCTTTGAGCATATATATATATGCTCAAAGCATAGGTATCTATCTATCTATCTATCTATCTATCTTGAAGATCTGAAGTTGAAGAAATAGAAATCATATATGTGCGTGTATATATATATATGTTGCCTGATCTGAAGTTGATGAAATAGAAATCCAGGGAAACATTTTACATGTGGAATTTATACAAACTTTAATATATAGACATTATATATGGAGAGACATCATGTCATCATATTCACATGGTTCACATTTCAAAGGTCCACAGTTACAATTCTTCCTTTAGTTCTTTGCTTCAGCCCCAGCTCCCTTACCTGGATTCAACTCAGAGTCTGGTTAAAGCCATTATCACCTTCCATATGGATCAATGCAAAGCATCCTAAATGTATATCCTACCTCCTTCTCTGCTCACCCTGTTATCTATTCATACAGCAGCCAGAGTGATGCTTTTGAAATATGGTCACATCATATCACTTTTCTGCTTAAAACCCTTAGCTCCCCATCTCATTCAGACCAAAAGACAAAATTATAATGAATTCTGCTAAGGCCCACTAAGATCTGCTCCCTTTCTTCATTGCTTGTTTGATGGCATCTTCTTTCTCATAGCACTCTTTCACACTGGCTTCTTTTTTTCTTTCTTGGTCCTTTGCACTTGTTTTCTCTACCTGGATGTGCATGCTCTAAATATTTTATGCCTGCTCAGGCCTTTGAGCAGATAATATCCTTCTCAGAAAGGCCTTCCCTGACTGTCCTGTATAAAATAGCAATCCTCCCTCCATCCAGTATTCCCTAACCCTGAACAAAGGTTCTTAGCTTGACAAGAGTTTGGACAGACCACTGAATATTTTTCAAGGCTCATATGTGCACTTATTGTAAAATCTACTTTTATCAAGACCTGGTAAATTAGTTTAGCAAGAACCCCTCACTCTCAATATCTGTTTGGGCTCCTTAGCTGCTGCCATTCTTCAGGTGATGTCTAATCACCCGGGTCTGCTTTCAGCAAGACTCCTGTTAGGTTAATTTAACCAAAATCCCGTTGATGTTTCCTCTTAGTAGTTTTCCAGCCACTGACTCCCACTCTGCTCCTTGGCTATAAATTTCCGTTTGTTCATGCTGTGTTCCCAGTTGATCCTAATCTCTCCCCAGTGCAGAATGCAACTCCAGTGGTCCCTGTATTGATTGCTGTGGTCCTGAATAAAGTCTTTCTTACCATGCTTAATAAGTGCCATTGAATATTTTTTCTTTAATGCCCACTGCCTGATTGATTACTTTTCTCCACAAAACCTCCCTGGCCTACCATATATTTATTTTTAATATTTATCTGTGTCCCTCCACAGGGTACAAGCTTCAGAAGAAGGCTCTTTGTCTGCATTTCTTTGCAGTACTCCCAAAACCTAGAATGATACCTGCTATAGTGATTTTCATCTGTTGAATCAAAGAAAAAAAAAACAGTGAACCATAAACCTATTCTTTTTTCCCCCTATTCTGTCATCAAAGCTTAAGATCTCTTGGCCTTTTTCTTGCTCCCTCCATCCCCATCCCCATTGCATCAGTTGCTGAATCTATGAGATCTCTTAGTGTAGTATCTTTGGCATCTGTTCATTGATTCAGATATCAAAATGATACGACCCTACTTCAGGCCCTCTTAAACTCTTGTCTGGTTAGGAGTATAAACACATACTTTGAGTTTTATGCCTTTTACTTATTTTGTTTATATAGTACTGTTACATTCCTTAGATTAAAAAAAATCCTGGGAGAAAATGGTATTATAATTATATGGAGCTTTGGAGAGGCAGAAATTTGGCTTGGATGATTTGTTTAGGGGCAGAGGTAGAACCTGACTCCTTTTCCCCATCTTCTCTCTCTAGCCCATTCCTGTATTATACACCAGAGAGGGTATAGTCTTCTTAGCCTGGCACTTAAGGCCTTTACTATTTGTTTCCAGTCATTTTTTTCATTCAAAATTATGTCC